CACTCTACATATTGATGTGTGTGTGTGTGTGTGTGTGTGTGTGTGTGTGTGTGTGTGTGTGTGTGTGTGTGGTGAAGGGGTGTGTTGAGGGGTTCAGCTTTAATGTACAACATTTCTGCACTAATCCGCTGCTGATGAGATATGAACCACCTGAGTATGCAGCAACTGAAAGCTTTTATTTGTTTATTTTATGATTTTCGTTTTTTTTTTTTTTTACGATTCTGACTCAAAATTTGATAAATAACACCGGGTAAATGGAGACCTCTTGAACTTTAATGAACAATTTTGTTTCGCACAGAAAGTTGGGAGTGTGGAGAGATGAGGGTGATTTTATCATGACACAGCAGAATAAAATATGTGAATTAGAAATTTTAAAAAGCTTAGATAGATAGATAGATAGATAGATAGATAGATAGATAGATAGATAGATAGATAGATAGATAGATAGATAGATAGATAGATAGATAGATAGATAGATAGATAGATAGATAGATAGATAGATAGATAGATAGATAGATAGATAGATAGATAGATAGATAGATAGATAGATAGATAGATAGATAGATAGATATTTTTTAAGTGATACATTTTTTGTGTTTGGAGTGTCCCCCTAGAGGTCCCCGAACCCCATGTTTGTGCACCCCTGAATCCGGCAGCAGCTTCACCAATCCCCCCCTCCCTCTCATAATATGGAAGCAACACGCGTTGACGTGTTGCGCTACGCTTCCGACCGCTGGTGTCGGCATGCGTCCTGTGCGCACACACACACACACAGATACGCACATACACAGCACTCTCGTGGGGACATGCGGCCAAGCAGACGCAGTCACGGTAAGTGGAGCCGCTTCTTCCCCCAGACGGGGCGCTTTATCTCCAGGGAGGGTTGAATGAAGGAACTTTCTCCATCTTCGGTCGGCTGTTTTCCTTTTGGGGGGAGCAGTGGGGAGGGGGGACGAGAAACGTGGGGAAGTTTAACTAACACACTTTTTTTTTTTAAAAAAATGTGTTATTATTCCCCCTCGCCGCTTCCTCGCTCCTGCTCTCCGTGCAGATTGCGCAACGCTGGGGCGCGATCGGGCTGAAAAGCGTGAGAACCAGTCGGGATTCGCGGTTCCGATTTTACCACCGGGCTCGAAAGCGAGGAGGGGAGGAGGGAGGGGTTGGGGGGGGTCCATTGAGGCTGAAGCTCCCCTTCTTCTGCTCGGCTCCGCTTTGCCTTGGCCATGCGGGACCTCCAGGGAGCACATTCAGTCCAAAACAGAGCTCCTATTTGTAACGCGTTAAAAGTCGTTTTCTAACCTAAAACCGCTGACTTTCAGGTGCTTTTTTAAAATTCTATGTTCACTTTCTTTGTTAGTTTGTGACTTTAGTTGGAGTGCGATTTTTGTGTCTCCGTGTTGTGTGTGTGTGTGCGCGCGTGTGTGGCGGGGGCAATGCGCAAAGTGTGTGGTCTTTCCAAGACCTCCACCCCCGCAGAGACGCACGGTTTGTGCGTTCGCGCGCGCACCCGCGCACACATCCATGGGTGCTCGGTCTGTCTCGGTTTGGCATGCCTGTCTCAGGAATGCGCCCGGCGTTTTCTCTGTATTTTTCACATTACGAGCACTTTGGGAATCGCTCTGAAAAGCCGCTCTCAGAAGCGCCGCCACCGCCGTCAAGCCGCCCGCGGCCACAGCGAGCCTTCCGGTTGAAGCTTTTCAAAATGAAAGCGCACGTGCTTTTAATTGGAATACAACACTGGAGCTGAATTCAACAGTTCAATTTAAAAAGGTGTATTTATTTATTGCAGCTCATAAAACTCCAAATTCAGCAAACCGGAAGAGGTGTTACAGAAAATTTGCTAAAAATGATTTCAAATACAAATATGTTCTGCTGGGCCTATTAAATCACTAGTTATTTCATTTCACTTATACATTGTAGCACCATTTTTTTAAAACGTGAATCATTTTGCACAGCTAAGACATAAGAGCCATCTGGCTAGCTGTTTGCCTTCAACCGAAGATCCGCTTTGCTTTTTTCTCACTTCCTGATAAATATACAATGATAATGTCACAGAGCACATTTGTTTGACCACACGTTTTTTCCTTCCACTAAACTTTCCACAAAAAAACAGAGCATCTTTGCTGTCGCTTAGCCTTCCTGTTATCTGCTGGCGTTGCGATCTAATTAGATGCAGGCTTTGAAAAGATGGCGGCAAGGTTTTCTCTTTTTGAGCTGCAAACATCAGGGAGCTAAAGTAAAAGAAAAGACAGAAAGAAGGAAAGAAAGAAATCAGTTATTATACAGTACGTTGCATTCATTAACTGAAAATCAATTAAAATTTTTTTAATCGCACAACTTAACTTTGAAAGAAATAGAAAACAATAATTCAAGTCATTTTGGTCGTCTAAACCCATCTGTCAGAAAAAAATCTGAGTCTGACTGAAGTGAATGCTTTTACTCTCAACACTATTACTGGTGAGCAGCTTCCGGTTTGCCCCCGTTAAGCTATGCTAACAACATGCAGACAGAGAGAGGGGGCAGAAGGGGAGGCAGTCCCAGCCTGGAGAGAGGAGAGAGGCAGAAATTCTTGTGTTTTTTGGTATGCCATTACCCAGTGGAGAACCCATGACTGAAGGGGAGGAGGAGGAGCAGGAGGAGGAGGAGACACATTCCTCGCCTTCCTCTTTAAGGTGACCACATTTTTATTTATTTATTTTCATTATTTTCCTGCCGACATGTCGCCACATGACACCCTGTTGCTCTGGGCTGATGCTTTGCCAGTGGACGGAGTGGTCAGTTGCACACACTGACCACAATTTAATTAGATGGAGTAAGGAATGACCTTTGACCCGCATGAGCTTCGAGCAGAATATGGTGCGTGTGCGGCATGCGCTCAACTCGAATGAAATACATTTGAAAAAATAATGATGGCTACCCTGAAAAAACTTGCTACAAACTATTTAATTTAGGTCTAGACTTTGATTAAGCCATTTTAAGAACCGAATCTACTCCATATTTGCACTAAGATGCTATCCCGTCTTCCCACTCGCTTGGGTCAGTTCCCCATCCCCGCCGAAGAAAAGCATAATGCTGCCACCACCGTGGGAATCCATTGAAGGCGCTTTTTGGATCAGAGTTGCCACGAGTCTCTTGTGGATGTCTTTTAATTGAATTCTCTTTCCTGGCCCCATCAGAACTTCTGAAACTCAGTGACTTTCAAACTGACACATTAAATGGGCCCCCATCAGATTTCTATTTTAAAAAAAGAAAAAAAAAAAACAACAACGCCGCTCCGCTTGTTCTTCGGCGTCTCAGTCGAAGCCTATAATCGCCCACTCGCCTGTAACGACAATTACAATAATGGACTGATTGTCGGATTATGGCACCAAAGTGGTTTTAGCGCACATCTGCATAATTGTTCTTAGCAATATAGGCGCCCGTGGGCTCCTGGCTGCCATTAGCCGCCGCGACGGAGGGAGACGTTCGACGCTTGATGAGCAGGGGGGCAAATCCCGCTCCCAAAAGCGCGTGGGTGTTTTCAGTGGAGAGGGAGCGAATGCACAAAGGCATTGTTTTATAAGAGTGTGTTTTTTGTGTGTTTTGTTTTGTTGGAGCAGACTGATGAAGGAAGTGAATCCTGGACCTTTAACAGTCTCTTTGCACGTTCAGATTGACAGTTTTTTTGGGGGGATCATCACCTATGTCATCTATCTTTGTATAATCTTTGTAAAAAAAAAAAAAAAGAAGAAAGCATTACATGACCAACAGATGGACAGACATCCATTTGTAGCAGCATGATCTAGATCAACAGCTGAACCCAGATCCACCCCCCTCCATCCCTCCTCCTCCTCCTCCTCTCCATGTAAACATGAGATGAAGGCTTTTGGGAAGGAGGAACAGGGGAAAAAGTGCCAATTTCGCCATCCAGCTCGTCTGTGACTGTTGTCGTCTGCAACACCTGAAACCTGCGGCGTTAATTCATCCAACTCCTCCTCCTCCTCCTGAAAGCAGGCCAACATCCCACTCGTGCAAGAAAAAAAAAAGAGAGAAGGGGAATAAAAAACGTGCTCCCCCTCTTCTTCTGTCCTTCTCTCACTGTGCTAATTACTTGCCACTACCATGGCAACGGGTAGCACCTCTTTTTTGTGTGTGTGTGTGTGTGTGTGTGTGTGTGTGTGTGTGTGTGTGTGTGTGTGTGTGTGTGTGTGTGTGTGTGTTAACTTGGCCATCTAGCCCATCACAAAAACATGCACCAACATTTCCTCTTCTGGTGGAAGAAAAAGAGAGGCTTGCTAGCCGTTCCTAAAATTCATTTGCAGTTTAAGAATTTCAGATTTGTAGAGCTTTAAATTTTAAAGTTCCCAGATAACCTTCTATATACTATGATGCGTCAAAGTTTTGCATAATTTATAATCCGATTTCTGTCTGTGCAGACAGCAAGTAATACTGTCTTGAGCTGCTCCAAAATGGACTGCATCAACATTTTCTTTTTGCACATGCTTCTAAAACTGTTCTTATGTTGGGTTTTTGCCATCTGATCAAACCCAAACATCCTCGGAAAGCGCTGTGATTAATTACTTCCCTTCAAGGTCCTGAAGTAACCACGAACTGTTATTGATTAACTGATCAGTAGAAGGCTGAGAGAAGATCTATTCACTTCATAACAATGAATTCCTCTGGATGCAATAGTTAAGGCTGCACTGTGACACGATGGCACATTTCTGTATTTGAGCCCTGGAATTTGGGAAACGTCGGAATTTGTCTGCAGCTTTTTTTGTACATTTTTGGACTAAAAGCGGCGAAAGAGACGCAGCAAAACCTGATGAAAAATGAACATTCGTGACTGAATCAGATCTGCTTCTGAAATGTGGGTCTAGTGAAAAAGACAGTTTATGCACTCAGCACTTACTTAGGGCATTTTTTGCATGAATAAATGCATCAGTGCAGAATGGCACAGAGGCTATCAGTCCGACATAATGGAAGTCCGGACAGCTTTGACAGCTTTCTTCAGACAAAATACTTTTCCAAGTAGTTTTTCCTTCCATGGAACTTTCTTTGTGGTCTAAACTCCTGGTTGAGGGCATCTGCTGCATCACCAAGTCAACAAACCGAGGGCCTTAAAAAAAAAAACATTTACAGATTAAATATTTGTTTCGATTGCTTTCATGTAACGTTCCATTCTTTGCTCTATATTTTATTTCCATGATGTGACGTGCGACACGTGGTGAAACTGCATTGCACAAACTCAAAAGCTGCCACTTCCTCTCCTTCCCCTGCTCTCCGCACGTGTCTTAATACCACATTATCTTCAATGACCCTGGCTTTTATGAATGGGTGACATCTGGCTCTGTCATTGGCTCCCAGCAGCAGCCAATCGGGATGGAAAACACTGACAACAGTGATGGGCAAGACGGTCTGTAGGGGTCGTGACCCCGACTCCCTCTCACGTCGCGTTCGTACTGTATGCGAGTCACACATTGACCTACTTGGTTCACCGCGGCCGTCTATACATAGCTGTGGGAAACGCAGGCGGACAATCGGCCCCCGGTTAAAATTAGCAGTCAGGGCCACCTGTGCGCCTCTCACAAAACGGCGGAAACATCAGAGGAGGGATGAAGGGAGGCGTGAGGAAGGAAAAAGGGGGTCGGGATGGAGACATTGATCACTCCGCCGCTCGTTCTCTCCTTTACTTTTTTTATATCCCCACTGCGACACAGGGAGACATTGTTAGGCGGTTCAGTTTTGAGGTCCAGGCCAAGTGGAGTTTACATACCACTCGGCTGGAGCGCTGCCAAATTTCAAAGTGCATAGGTGGAATATATAAGGAGAGGAGATATATTGAGGCGTGAGAGCCATTAAGCACCTTAAACAAACTCAACAGAAAAAAAGGGAAGGAAAAGACTCGACTTTCTAAATAATACTACATCCGGTCTGCCCCATGCCCCTTTCCTGCCCTCCCATATAACATGTTGTCACTGTATAGCCATATTTCACTGTATAGACATGTTTCCTGTCTTTGTTGGTACAGACAGCCGACAGGAAGCTCTTGTCTTCTTTTACTGACGTTCACGTTAAAAAACTGCCACCTCGTTTCCTCGAATCACCGAGTTCTCAGCCCACGCAAGCCTTTTTGTTCCCGTGAGTTTCCACCAGAATGAAAGTGGCGGTGGGCGGAAAGGCAAAAGCGCTCGAGAAAAAAATAAAAGCTGCGAAAGTACGAGCAAAGTTCAGCTGATTTTAAGTGTTTTATGCTCTTTTCATTATTTCCTTTGTGTGTGTGTGTGTGTGTGTGTGGTTTACAGTCAAAAGTCCAACATTACTGTCTGTTTTCTCACTTTCAGGCCAGAAGATTGACTCTGCAGGAGAGGATGATGGAGAACTTCCGCAGCATCCGTCCACCTTCGGCCATTTTGAGTTGGAGAAAACCTTTTAAACACTGAAAAGTGAAGGAGATCAAGAGGAGAAAGTTAGCTCATTTTCAACATGTATTTCTGGATCAAAATAGTGGTTATGAAGGTTAATGTTTTCTATGTAGCTGTTTTATATTTTTTTTACAGTGATCACCACCAGGGGGCGCTGCTCCCCACTCACTGAACATGCTGAAATTGGAACAAAATGCAGTTCATTTGAGGTGTAAACAACTTTTTTTCTGAGCGGATTTTGCCATTTTCTTCTTATTATAAACACCCGTGAGTTTGTTCTCTATTTCTGAAAACTGAAATTGGAACAATGAGGACATACTCCAAAGAATTTCACTCATAAAGATGTCATGTTTTTTCTTTTTTAAACGAGTTAAAAACTTACCAAATCCTCCACACTGATGCTAAAAAGCCCTTGGCGGTTTTCTTGGGCGAAAAAAAAATAAAAAATTTCAAAATTCAGCAAGCATAGCGCTACAGATGCATACAGCCAGGTTGCTTTAACAAGTCGAGAACAATATCCTCATACAGGGTTGTTGCAGGAAGTGTGAAATCAGATCTGTATCACTCTTACTTGGAAAAAGCGACACCAGTAAATAACTTCTTTGTGCGTGTTGCTGAGGAAGGAAATTGCCAGGACATATCTAGGTGAAGGTGCAAGTAGGAAATAGGTGTCTGTAAAAAAAATAAAAATATATATCTGTATTCACAACTTTTACAATTGTGTTAGACAAAAAAAAAACTGGCAGAAATTGTTTTTGCATCATTACGAGTGGCACACGCCCTCCTCGGCAGACTTACATCAGCTTGAGGTCGTTTCCTTGCTCATTAAAATCTCCCCCGCCTGGACTGAGGCGCCCAATCGGAGCGGCGGAGGAGCCAGTGGGCGCCCAGCGTTTGCTCAGTAGTCAGTGTAGATCCTGTGGGGCTGGCAGCAGCTACATCTGGCTACTGGGTCTCTGCTGACGACCAATCCGGTCCCAGAATCTGGGGTGGCCGCAGATGTTTGGTTTCTCCTCACTTGGACGAGTTCTGGACCTGGCATACAGTGTAGGATCCTGTGTGTGTCCGTCTACAGCTACATTGTCTGCTGGGTTTCAGGCCTTTCCTCTGTCTACTTTAAAGTTTCAGATGAATACATAAAAAAAAAGCATGAATAAATTGACAACTTTGTGTTTATTGACTCATAAAACATTCTTCAAACAATAAAACAATTTTAAATGTCTGTTTCTGTACAATACTTGCTAAGCAACTTTATTTATATTATATATATATATATATTTATTTATATTTATATATAGAAAATGTAAGAGGAGTTGTGTTAAAATGACAAAACTCCTTCAAATGTAATGGCAGGTATTCTGGAAAAAAAAAAATAACAGCATTCCATCAACAAATACTTTCAAGCAATAAATATGTATTTATAAATAGTGTAAATTTACATCAAGATTAGAAACATAAAAACAAAAAAATCACAAATTAAACTTCCATAAGTCTATGTGCAACCCATTTTCTTTGTGACTTGGCTAGTACATTTTTTTCTATTATTTTTGTTTATTTTTTAACTAAAAAAAAGAAAGTTTTGAAAATCAGACAAACATTTTAAAAAAACTGCAAAACAGAAGAAAAAGTGAGAGAAATTTTTTTTACCTCAACTCTTCACATTATAATTTTTTTGGGGGAGATTTTGCTGTCCAGAGTCTTAAAACAACTATCTACTGTAAAAAAACAAATAAAACAATTTAAATTATAACAGACCAGTTAGGCTAGTGCTCCTTAGAAGAGGGAAGGGAGGGAGAGGAGTTCCACAAATCAAAACCAACATTTCATCCTGTTACCAGAAGAAAAACAAGGAAATGGAGACAGAGAGAGACAGCAGGAGAAAGGTTGTCAAGTCAGTAGTCTTTACGGTGGGTGTTGCCAGTTGCGACAGTTAACAAGTATCTACAAAAACATTTTTACCACGCTTTAAAAATAATAATAAAAAAATCCCTCGCCTCCATGTTCCCGACCGTATTTGATTAAATCCTCCAGTAAAACATGAAACCACTGTCTTTAGAAGAGAGGGGAGAAGAGGGAGGAAAAGAAAAGTTTAAAGTCCTGTTATCAGGCCAGGTGGCGCCCCCTTCTGGCTTCAAACAGGTTGCATAGACAGACACTCGGCCGCCTCAGCCTCAAGCGACAGTGATGGAGGAGGTGGAGGTGAGGTGGGGTTTGGGGTGGGCGGGGAGACGGCCTTAGCTTTTCCTGAATATCAGAAATGGGTCCGTATGTGGAGGCGTTGTTTCTGATCTGAGAACAGGGGTCCTGCAGGTGGGCTTCATGGCTCCAGAGCAGAAGAAGAAGAAGAAGACAGGAAGAGCCTAATGTCAAGATGAAGATGAATGAAGAGGAGGGGCCTGGAAGAAGAGCAGAAACAAGTCAGTAGTCTTTAGCATATTATAATAATAAAGATTTTTTAAAATGAATTAATGTATTCAAAATGGGAAACACAGGTAAACAACTAAGATGGTTAGTTGTTGCAGAATTCAGCTTCTATGTGCCACAAATCTGGAACTTCCAAAACAACAACTGCAAAACAGCCAAAACTCTGAGTTCCTTCAAATGAAGACTAAAATCCCACCTGCTTTTTGTTAGTAGTAGGTGAAACATTGATCAACATGCTCATTGGTTTTTTGTTGGATGACAAAATGTCACTTTGCTCCTGTCATTTTCTGGAAATGTCCCAACCGGCTTCCTCCACTTACTAGTGTGAACTGGTCGTAGACCTGCATCAGGTCCTCCATCCTGTACTGCTCCAGCACCATGAAGTCGTCGAGCGCCGCGCTGCCCTTCCTGGCGCAGTCCTGGCAGTGGACCAGGCACTGCTTCTTGGACAGGTGCTCGCGGCGCACAAACAGCAGGTTGAACACCTCCACCTGCAACGTCACATTTCCGAATTTAACGGTAAACGGAGGCCAGCGAGGTGAAGTTGTTTCTTTCTAGACGGACAGACGATGCGGCGTGTCGCCAGAGAGAGAATAATAATCAACAATTAGAGCAAGGATTTAATGCGTTTGTCTGGGAAAAACTGCTAAAAGCATTTCGCTCTTATTAAATCCATTAGCCGAGATGCTAATTGGCGTAAACAAAACAAACAAAGAAGGGTTTTTCAATTCAGTTGAACCAAATTAGTCAATGCAATAATTAAGTGTGGAATGATTTATACTGAAATGGCTTTTTGTTTAAATAGTAATGCAATATTTTAAAGCTGAATCAAAGCTTCACACTCGCCTCGCAGATAGTGCAGTAGTGCGCCGGCTCGTCCCTCGTCCTTGGCTTCAGCACCGTCTCCTTCCCGGCCGATGTCAACGCTTCCTTCACCCACTGGCACTGCTTCAAAGTCCGCAGCAAGCAGTACCTGCGACCGGAACGCGCCGCGTTAGCACCACAGCAGAGAAAAAACAAACAAACAAAAAAAGAAACGTGTGGGAAAAACTCAAAAAGGTGCTCTGCTGCTCACTTGATCATCTCAAACAGCTTGTGGTCGGACACTTTGATGTTCCGCGCCATGTTCCAGGAGAGGTGCACCATGGGAACCATAGACTTGACGCTCTGGAGCTTGTTCCACTCGTACCGCTCCACGGCCAGCTTGTACTGGTGGGCTGAAAGAAGGGGATTAAATGAGGGGTTAAAAGAGGACACATAAGCAGGTCTTCCTGAACATTTTCACATTTGGCCACGTTACAAACACAAATTTCATGGAAGTGTACGAGAGAATTTAACAGCTCGATTAACGAGCAAAGGTCATATTCCTTGACGTCCAGACAGAGACCTTAACCAGGCCAATAAGGCGGATTAGCAGTGCTAGGTAGCAACTGATATCATCCAGGTATCATATTGGCTCTCAGGAGTCTGTCATACACAACATACTTCAGTCAGAAGCCTCTTGTTAATCGTTGCAGGACTGACGGCTACCTTCAAATAGTCTCCTTGATGACTCTTTGAAGCAGGGATGCAATTAACAGTTAGTTTGTAATTAATTAATTGATTATTCTGATGATTAATTGGATTTTATCTTAATATGGAACAGATTTCTCAGTTAACCATATAAGCCTTTTTGTTTACTTTTGTTTGCCATTTCTTTTAATAGCAAAATGATTTAATTCCTTTTTGAATAAGGAACAAATTATTTTAATGCCTAAAATACGTTATCGTAACATCACCTGGTTAGTAAATCTGAACCGTAAATGTAAACCACTCAAAATAGCCAATTAATCACCATTAATTGTTTCAGCTCTACTTAGAAGAAACATTTAATTTTCTTTCGGGACAGAAAACAAAACAAGCGTTTTTAAACTTAAGCAAATTAACTCGAAATTTGTTCAAACACTCAAATAACTGGAACACAAAAAAGAAACAAATTCAAACAAAAAATTAAAAGCGTTCTTTGACAAATATGGGTGAAACGTACCGGTGAGAGGTCCGACGTTCCAGCCGATGTTGTTGCACCAGCCGATGGCCTGCACCCAGTGGATGGTCCCCGTGTTGAGCCACACCAAGTCGCCCGGACGTTGGATGAAGCGGTAAACCGGCACGTCCGACTCGTACAGGTCCTCCAGGTTGGGCCACCATGAACCCATCAAAAAGTTGATGTTGTTCCTACAGGGAAGCCAAGAGCTTTGATTTACATATTCACAAACACGCAAAGCAAAGCGCAAAGATGACAAACTAGTCTCACTTCTCGCAGAAATTGCTCATCACGCCCCAGTAGGCCTCCGGCACGGCGAACCACTCGCAGTCGCCGGGCCCGATGTTGATGTTGACGGCGCAGAAGTCATTGTGCTCTTGGTGGCCCGGGATCCTGCTGCCGGGAACCTTCATGTACAGCTGCACCGTGTTCATGCCCAGGATGGTGTGGCCCACATGGCTCAGGAGGTTGCCTGCAGACACCACCCGCGCAAAGGCCGGCAGCTTGCTGAGCTCCTGCAGCTGCTGTTTCCACCTGACAGGGGGCGCAGTGGAGCAGGATTTAAACTTGTTTGTTTTCAGCTATCAGAATAGAATGTAGTACAGCGACTTAGGTCTGTTGTAAAAAGAATAAAAGTACATTTCTCCCAAAAAAAAAGAGTCAGACATTTTAAATTTAATTTGTTAAAACCTGTTTCAATTGTTTTTTAAAACTTTTTTCCAGGAAATTTTTGACTTTTGAGAAGTTTTTTCTAGGACATTTTTTTTTTACCCGTCTACAAATGGACCTCATGCTCAGTGGTGGAATAGAAATAAACTCCAAACTCACTTCCTTTCATCAGAGACGTCAATATTGGTTCCAAACTTGATGTGTTTTAAGGGCCCTCTTCTTTTTCGTGTTGCACTTAAAAAACAAAAACACACATTTAGAAATTTAGCGTACTAAACATTTCTTTCTTGATGCAGTTGTTTTTAAATACCTCTCTGCAGATGATGGCTCTGTGTCCAAAGGTTCCTTTAGTGCCTTCTTTTCATTCTCCTCCTGAAATCAACCCATTAGAACAGAATCTTACAAACCCTGCTGAACTCTTTAACGAAGAAGTTTGATTTCAAAGCAGGACCAACCCTGAGGGACTCCTGGAAGGAGGCGGCCTGATACTGCGCGTATTTGGCGATGGTGGTGTGAGCGCGGGTGCTCTCGCAGCGCCACATCTTCTTGGTGCCGCTCGGGTCCCAGTTCTCGTCGGCGGGCTGCAGCAGCTGAGTCCAGACCTCCACTGGGTGCTCTGGGTTGGCCTCCACCAGCGTCTTGGTGGAGAACAAGCCGAGATCTGGACGCAAACGAAACGGAAGTGAGCAAAGAATGTGAAGAAAATAAATGGGGAGCAGGAAGGCGGTTCTTACCCAGTT